TTGGTAAGGACGATCGATGGGGCAACGAGCTCCCAATAGCACAATGGCCGAGGAGGGCGGGGTAGGGGAGGGAACGGAAGGGGGCTAGGCCGGTGCGCGCAGAGGAAATGAGAAGTGAAACGGAAGAGGGAGGGCGTGGAAGAAAGAGGGAGCCGGAGGAGGTTTATATAGGCGTCAGACAGCTCGACGACCACGACGTCACGGCCCAGCGACAAGGGCAGGGGAAAGGCTAGACCCGAACGGGCGACGCCATTCCGGATGGGGAGGGGCGCCAGACCGCAACGGGGCAGGCGCGGCACGGCGGGCGGCGGCGGGCGCGAAGCGGCCGGGTCGACGCAAACCGATATAATACTATATATTTTTAGTTTTATTTCTTTATTTATACTGAAGTTATTATATAAGATTAAGTAATTATTTTTTAATTGAAATTTTATATACTGGTAATTATTACTTTAGAAACAGATGCTGACTCAGCTATTTATGTAGTTAACGTAATCGATAAGCGAGCGAGCCACATAAGCAAGCGAGCCACATAAGCAAGCGAGCCACTTCCCACCTGCCATACAACAAGAATGCTTTTCAACAAAAATATCAACCACTCAAAGAAATAAAGTCTCTGCTCAAGAAGGAAGGCTTCTTTTAGCCATTCAAGCACTTAAAAATGATCAAATTTCAAGCATACGAGCTGCAGCAAAGCTGTATGATGTCCCTCGCTCAACCCTCACTCACCGTGTCTCTGGTCGTACAGCACGCGTGGACATTCCCCCAAAGAACCGAAAACTTAGCCTTACAGAAGAAGAATCACTTGTTCAATGGATTCTAGCCATGGATGAGCGAGGTCAGCCACCCCGGGTTGCAGCTGTACGAGAAATGGCCAATCTCCTTCTTGCCAGTCGAGGAATCAACCCCTCACCCACAGTGGGTGAATGCTGGGTACGAAACTTTGTCAATCGCTATGAAGAGCTGAAATCCAAGTTCTCCCGCAAGTACGACCATCAACGTGCACTATGTGAGGATCCTGAGGTTATCCGTGGGTGGTTTAAGCTTGTACAAAACACCATTGCAAAGTATGGGATTCTGGAAGAGGATATCTACAACTTTGATGAGACAGGCTTTCAGATGGGGGTTATTGGGACTGTCAGAGTGGTGACTGGATCTGAAAGAGCTAGGAATCCCAAGCTTGTACAGCCTGGAGATCGGGAATGGGTGACTGTTATTGCTGGGGTCAATGCAATGGGCTGGGCTCTCCGTACAATGATTATCCTCAAGGGAAAGATGCATCAGTCCTCTTGGTATGAGACTGAAGGGCTGCCGCATGACTGGGTGATTGGAGTCAGTGAGAATGGCTGGACCACTGACCAGCTGGGCTTGTACTGGCTGAAAGAGGTGTTCAACAAGGAGACTCTACCCCGTACGAAGGGCAGATACCGACTGCTGATTCTAGACTGGCACCGAAGCCATGCCTCAGCTGAATTTGATCAATTCTGCTCTGAGAATCAGATCATTGCTCTCTACATGCCACCACATTCCTCTCATCTTCTTCAGCCACTGGATGTTGGGTGCTTCTCCCCCTTGAAGACTGCATATGGACGACAGGTGGAGAATCAGATGCGGCTTGGGATCAATCATATTGACAAGGAGGAGTTTCTGGCCCTATATCCTGCAGCTCAGATGCAGGCTCTGACTGAGAACAACATCAAGAGCAGTTTCAGGGCAGCTGGGCTGGTTCCATACAATCCTGAGCAGGTTCTCTCGCGCCTTAATACCACAATGCATACCCCCACCCCAACTGGGACCTCTCATAGCTCTCAGGCCTCCTGGGCCACTGCTACACCACATAATAAACACCAGCTAGAGCAGCAGACTAAGAAAGTTAAAGGATATATTAAGCACCGTACGCAGAGCCCACCCAGCCCAACTGATCGTGCCCTAAATCAGCTGGTCAAGGGATGTCAAATGGCAATGCATAGTGCTGCTATTCTAGCAGCTGAAAATAGGGAGTTAAGGGCTACAAATGCTAAACAAAAGAGAAGGCGAGAAAGAGGCCGTACATATGTAGCCCAAGAGGGAGCTTTGGGGGTGGAAGAAGGCTTGGATCGCGTACGAAGCATCAATGAATGGGAAAGAGGGGTGGTTGAGGCTGCTGAGTCCCAACCACGAAGACGTGCAGCACCACAGTGTAGTGTATGTGGGATTATTGGGCATACTGCCCGTACATGCTCTAAGCGTACAGGAAATAATTGATAATATCAGTTTGTTAATTTTGGGTTGTATTCAGGACTTGAAGAGCATTCTTGTTGTATGGCAGGTGGGAAGTGGCTCGCTTGCTTATGTGGCTCGCTCGCTTATCGATTAACGTAATCAACCACTCAACGCCCGTCTACACTCAACGCCCGCTATTTTGCC